GGGCTAGAATAAAAAAAATCCTTAGTGGAAGGTCTACGAACAGATTAAGGCATATTAGAAAGCTCAGCTTGACTACTTGCAACAAAGTGTAATTACAGTATCTTTTACTGGACAGAATGTCAAAGATGTCCATCAGATTTATAGAGGTTATAGATTTAAATTATAACCTCTCCCAGCTTTTAACACTCTGTCAGAAACTTCTAGAGATGAATGTTCTATGGAAGCCCCATTGCCAAATTTTATCTCAGCAGGGCTACTGGCCATTCTTCTTGTTTCTGAAGATCAACCCAATAATAGGAGAAACAAGACAATGAACAAAGATAAAGGAAGGATCACATTCACAGAAGACTTTTTGAAAAACCTCAGCTACATGTAAGTAACCAAATTAATCTTTATTATGATTTCTGGGATTCACATTGATGGGAGACTAACAAGATATACACCTGGAGATGGCCAGTGACAAGAGATGGGTGCTTCTAGAACTGTTCCTAAGCTTCAACAACACGGTAATTGTTCTCAGTGAAGTTGAATATGAAGACTAGTTTTCTTTAGAAAAACAATGAAGGGCATGGAGAAAAGTTATCAGTTAGCCAACTGATAACAGAGTCAGTTGCTGGATTTTATCTACCTCCAGAGAGATTGTGACAACACTGCTTTCCCTTTTTAGGGTTCTAACATAAATGTTTACTCAAATGAATGGAATCAGTCCGCTTTAAAAAAATGTAAAACCTCAATCAATGTTAAGAGCATGAAGATTCTGAATTGGTCAAGAAATTCTGGGAAAATGAAACAATGAGATTAATAGGAATGGCATTACTTGTTCTTAAAGCATATAGCTTACTAGGCCTTTGTGGAGAAATAACAAGAACTAAAGAGGCAGGTTCCCATGGTATTACATAAAAGCTCAAGTTTCCAGTGACTGAAGAGATCTATTCATTAACATAGACAAAACAAAAGAAAAACTCCGGGCAGAGACTGGTATCATTACCAGGGCATGCAAGTTATGCGTGCCTTTGAGAAAACATTTAATCTTCATGTCCAAAAAGAGAGAGAGAGAAAGAAACCTGGATGAGATCTTGAGACACGGAGATAACTGACAAATCCATAACAAGGCTACAGGAATGCAGCGCTAACAGATTTTAATTCTGTTAAAGAAGATAACACATGAAGAATGGAAGATCAAATTTCCAATGTTCAGCAAACTTTAAAATGTTTACATTTAGATGCATAGCATTTGCAGACTGAAGGCTTTTGGGATGTATCCAAAATGCCTTTTATGTCTTGTGGTATTTGGACAAAAGTCATATCCTTCAAGTGTCAGAAGGAGAAGGTAAGTTGCAACCATTGGTAAACTTTCCTTGTTAGAGAAAAAAGAAGGATAAACCTTACATTAACCACTATGGAATGGTGAGAATGTGCAGTGAGCACTGTTTCTTGTTGAACAGAAAAGAACAGGTGGGAATAAATTAAGAGTTGGTCCCTTCCATGACAACAGAAAGACACCCCCGCAAAGATTCATGGCCAAGACCAGCTCTGATAAAAAACAATGCACATTCAGCATTGTGTGGGGACATGAACAGATTGATCAGAACATGTTCCCGCTCTTGGAATAGACAGAATCAGTCCCAGAAACTCAGCACTATGAAAAGAGGAGGTAAGACTCCAGTCTTCCCTTCTGTTGATATATCACAACTAGTATTATCCACTGCAGGTTGAAGGAACAACTTGAAGACTTGGAATACTTTTAGAAACATGAAAAATTCAAGAACATTTATGTGAAGGTTATGGATTTTCTGCAGAGTTCCCAGTTACGGGGTACTGGAAATAATCTCTATCCTTTTTAGGAAGTATCTACAATATGTACCCATAGGACTCAGTTTCAGCATAGCAGAAGGCATACCCACCAAAAAGGTTTATTGTCACTTGGAGAGTGACAAAGCACTTTGGAAAGGGATGCAAAGAAGTTGAACAGATACCCTGGTTAGTGAATGTGATGAAGATATCACAACTGAAGTTGACACATGCCCAAATGAGCAAAGGAATAATTGTGCGAGTTGCCGATATGGGCCCTGACAATTTGAAGATGTGTGCAATGTGAGGTTTGTCAAAATGATAATCAAGCTAAGATAGTTAAAGTGCCCCAGTCCACATCAAGGAAGTCCATGCTTCTGTCAGAATCTACTTGAATAAATTTGTTTTACTAGCCTAGTCCTTCTGTCTGAGTTGTAATATTATGCCAGAAAGCAAAGAGAAATAACCAAGTGAATTCAGAGTTTAAGGTACAACAAGGTACTATATTTAAATAAGGGACCACAATGATCCTTGAAGATTTAATTGCATGGCCACTGTAGCTGTACAGTCTGTCAAAGCCACAGAATACTGTAGCTAAATCAAAATGGCTCAAAGTTGGAAACACAGTCCCCTGAGGGAGAACTAAAGGAATCATCAATTTTCTTGAGCAACTGAAATATGAAAAAATATAGATATTAGTGCAATTCACCAATTGCCAACCAAACTTTCTTCCGTAAGTATGAAACGATAATATTCAAGATGATCATTTGGTTATGAATACAGGCTACAGCTCCTCAGTGATGTAAAGTATTCTGAGAAGACACCACCTATGCCTTCAGCTTATTGAACTGGCTCTACTGTTCTTTTTCATAATGAAATAATGATCTCTCAATGAATAGGCACAGTACCTTGCTCCTCAAAAACATCTGAAGAGGCTTGGTATGAAATCCTATGTACTATACACACTGTGAATTATTCAAATCAATATGGAGAGGTGTTGCAAAGTGTTGGTATTCTGTCAGTCTGCAAACTGCCTTCTTTAAATAGCAAATTTTCATTCCTAGCCCTAAATTCAGAGAAAAAAGCCAAGGAAGATGCAAAGTAGCAAAGGCAGCCATCACTTTAGATTATAAGCCATTGATATATGTTGATGTATTTCATCTATTCAGCTAAGTGCTAAACTGCTTTAATATATTTTAATTTGGTAGTAGGTATTTTAAAAGAAAGCAGCAGTCTTCCTCTTGAACCTGAGAAAGGTTCTCTGTGTGTTTAGATGTATGTGGTGTGGAGATAGCTTACTTCACAGATCTTCAGAGATCATTAGTAAGGCCAGCAACATGTGCATTTCCACAGGAAGTATAAAGACTGAAAGTGGTGAGGCAGGAAACAGTGCTGCTCAGATCACACAGAACTGCTGTGTAAACGCAGAGCATGCGCCCCCCAATCTCAAGCCTGGAAAAACAATAGCCAGGGGTCCATAAAAGGCTTTAAGATTTAAATCCCAGGGCTGATAGATCTGTTTGATGCAGGGCTTTATTTGTGCTTCCTGCATCAAATAGATCTTCTGTGCGTATATGGCTTATGTTTTATCCGCAATAAACCACTTATCTACCAAGATCAAGTCTGTTAAGCTTCTGATATTAGCAGTTCCTGAATGGAACTAGAGGCACTCTCCATGAGGATGCCTTTGAAGATCACCAGGAAGCTTCAATAAGTTCAGAATGCAGTCCATTTATTGGCTGCACGTGCTATCATAAAAATATTACACCAATGTCTGCCCTCACTTCTGAGTGTAAGATGCTGGTTGTTATCTATAAAGCCCTCTATGGCTTGGTGACAAAGTATCTCCAAGATGTTCTCCAGTCATAATCAACCTGTCTGACTTACTCATCCTGGAAAATGCCATTGACAGTTCCCCATTTCCCTGAGGTTCATTCCATGGAGGGTCCTAAGTGCTGCTTTTTTATGGCCATTAAGTAGTAATTAAATAGTATAGTGCCCATACTTTTGAAGAGCCTCCTGCTTAAAGCGATGTCTCTACCCTCACTATAGTCTTCTAGAAACTATTAAAACAGGAGTTGATCTGGAGAGCCTAGAGTGATATATGTCACCCAAGGGGACTGTAATTACGGTTTTATGATTTAATAAGTTTTCATTTTCACCATGGACATTTTATTTCTGTGTCTTCATTACTGTAAGCTGCCAAGTGTTTCAGGACTGGAGCAGGTAAGAAATCCAATAAATAATAAATAAGCATTCAAGGAAACTATTGTGAGGTACTGCCAGGATAGCAGAAGAATACAGGAAAAGATACAGGCGATGGATTCCTGCCAAATGTTCAGCTCGAGAAGGTTCCAATAGAGGTACAGTGTGCAAGCGCAAATTCCCATTAGTGTGAATCAGCCAGAACCCCCTAAAGAAAAATGGTGTCTATGTCCCCATCAGGGTTCTTTTTTAAACCATACCCAATCTGACTGACTGTTGAGAGAGACACAAAAGCACTGGACCATGGACCAGGAGGCTTCTTT